CTTATTTCATTTGAAATATATATATATATATATATATATAAACATTTTACCCATTAAAATAAGTAAAGAATGTAAATATTTCTCAGTGTGAAAACATATAATAAAAATAAATTAACAAACTTGTATCTCACATTCACAAGTTACAATGGATGTGTTATATTAAATAGATAAACAAATATAGGAAAATTGAGAAGAAGACGAAAAGTACCTTAATATATTTGAAAATTTGCAATTATTTGTGGGGGGAGGATTTAGGTAGAACCTAAAATATGCCTAATTATATCTAAAGTAACTTTAAGTCATACCTAATTTCACCGGAGTTAGGCTCATTATATATTCCTATTTAACGAATAAAATGTTTATTATTAATAATGAATACATCTCCAATTGTATTTTATGTGTTTTTACCAATAATAATGACAATTTTATATATTTATATTTTATAAAAATTTTAATTAAACTTTGAACTTGTAATGATTCAATAGGTTATTACTTTTACTATAGTTTAAGTTACTATACAGTAGAAAGATTAAGCAATAACCAACTAACTCAAAGTTATATATCATATAATAAGTACCTAGTCATTTATGTAATTAATACATGTATAGGATACTAAATAAAACAATTAAAATCATAAAGTCTTTTATTGGATTACATACATACCCTATGTGTGTCCATATATATATATGATGAAAGATTCGTTTACTTCAAAAGTAAGTTTAGTTAGACTTACTCTGTTCAGTGACTCATATTCTATATCAAATTTTAACAATCTAAACGTTGAATTTAAAGTTACTAATGCATAGATCAAATATGAAAATTTCTAAAAAAATTGAAAATCATTTGATACTTCATTTCATTAATTCAAATCAATGTATAAAATGATTTTATGATTATCTGTCAATTTGAATTAATGAAATGAAGTATCAAATAATTTTTAAAATTTTTTTAAGATTTGCAGACTTAATCTATGCATTAAGAACTTTAAATTCAACGGTTGGATCGTTAAAATTTGATGTAAAATATGAGTTATTGAATGGAGTAAGTCTAGGTAGACTTAATCTTGGAGTAAACGGATCCCTCATCCTTTTACTCCAGGAGTAAGTTTACCCAAACTTACTCCGCTCAATAACTCATGTTTTACATTAAATTTCAACGATCCAACCGTTCAATTTAAAGTTCTTAATGCATAGATCAAATATGCAAAAGACATTAATTGTCGGCCATGCATTTATACAACAAAATACTACATCATAGTAGCACTATCAAAGCTAGGTCACCCCAACATGACCTTCCACCAGCTAACCAAGCCTTTTTACTAATTCTATCCTACTCTCATATCAAGTATGATCATAACAATTTCAACCATAAGAAAAACACACAATAAGCTTGTAAAAGAATTCAACACACACAACAACACAAAGTAGCAACATAAACAACTTAAAAAACAATAATCATTTAAACAACACAACTTCAACTAATCACCAAATTACCACATACAACTTACAACACAACACATCATAAACATAGACAACAATAAGCAACTAATGTGTTGTCACACATATAAACTATGAAGATCTCCTTCAATAGAAGTAAGCAATTTAAGTGGCTAAACTTTATCGAACTACAACATCTGACTTATCACAACTAGGTCAAGTATGGACAACGTTATTATAAAGTGCCAAGCATAGAACTACATTTTGATTTCTTAAGTTTTGTCACTTAAATTAGGAAGTCTAATATTCCTATCAGGTAAAATAGTTTGGATATCACTAGTGCAAAAATTAGATTTAAAATTGGAGTTTTAAGATCAGTTACAAGGTAACCGATCTTAAAAGTGACGCGGTGACAATTTTGTAAATAAACTGAACACTTTTAAGATCAGTTCAAAT